CCCCTCAGGAGCTACGTGAGTGGTTTGCCAGGCGCTGGAGGCGTGCTGCTGGTGCTGGAGGTTCTTCGACTGCAGAGGGTACTGCTGCCGAGCGTCCCGGCGGTGCTCGTACTGTGGGTGCTGGAGCTGCTGGGTCTGAGGGTTCTCCTGGAGCTGGTGCTGCTGAGGGTGTTGACGCTGAGACTGCTGCTGGAGGTCCGACTGGTGGTGCTCCTGGTGGTGCTGCTGGAGGTTCTGGAGCTACTGGAGGTGCTGCTGGAGCGGGTACTCCTTCTGGGGGTACTGGTGCTGTCCGTGCTGTTTCTGGCGTCGCCGCGCGGCCCCGGCCGTACTTCGTTCCGCTCCTGCAGCAGGTTCTTGGTCTTACACCTTCTCCTGGTCCTCCTCCTCCTTCCTTAGAGGGTCCACAGCCTGTCTCGTCACAGTCACAGCTACAGCCTGCCTCACCTTTGCCTGTTCCTTCTCCCTACGCTGGTCCGACTGGAGGTCTTACTGAGCGTCGTGAGCCTGCGTCTCGTCCTGCGTCGCCTGTTCGTACTGCGCGCACTAGTGGTCGTGGTTCGCGTCAGCATCCTCCTCCTGTCCCTGGCACGCACCGGATGTCTCTGCGTCCGTCTACTGCTCCTCTGCGTGCCCCTTTGCCTTCTCCTCCTGCTTCCTCTCTTCCTGCTCTTGCCGACCCGGAGTCGGACTCTCTTCGTGCTGCCAGTCCTACTGTCACGCGTCTTCTTGCTACTGCTGTCACTGACCCTTCTTTCGAGTCTTCTGCTGCGTCTGCCCTTGTCACTGAGCTCGTCGACTTTGCTGCGCGCTGTCGTCTAGACTACGCTGCTAGTCTTGTCGCTGAGTCTGAGTCTGCCTGTCCTCCGTCCGTCGTTGGGTTGCGAAGCAACCTATTACAATCGTTATGTACAATTTTTTTTTTCAATCCTCAATACCTTTAAAAAATAGAGGGAAAAAATATAGTGAACGGTACTAGCTAAATGACTGACTGCTATGTATCTGCCGCGTCAATTTACCACGTGCTGAACCACATTCCTTCTCATTTCCTAGTTTACTTTGACTGAACCTATATTTCATGAGTTGCCAAAATGATGTACTGTGAATGCATAACTGTTTATTCCGTGATGCATATGTCTGCTGTTGTTATAAGTAGATGAAGTAAATGCAAATGCATAAGTATAATGCATATACGGTACTACCGGTACCGTAATGAAATAAATGCACAGCATGATGGAAGTGCGTAACAGTTAATTGACGCAGACCCTATGCTACCGCATCCCCTGCCTAGCATGGGGGGGAGCTCAATTGCATAATTTCTGAATCATCCAACTGTTACATGAAACAACACAATCTGTGTGATATAAAAAACAGGTCAATTCCATCAAATCCAGTTCGAATGGACACACTCACTGAGTGCGCAAAGAACCTTCTCGGAAATGATAGTTTGATCCCAATTTTTAAACCCCACAGACATGTGTTATTAATGCAATGGAAACATGAATGAAAACGCATACGCACACAACACAACGCATACACATGATCATACACATTCACACAGACACGCACGCACGAAGTCAACTGACAAAGCATATTAACCGCATATGAAATAGAAACCTAAATCACCAAGACATTATGTATCCTATACTGTAAGTCACAAGCAATATCAGTCTACTTCTCATATTGAGCTCGACTGCCTGAAAAGTAAGACAAAGCTGGGTTGAGGAAGGGAAGGCAAATGGGAAATAACAAGGCATAATGAAATTACAAGAAAAAGGAATAATGAAGAAACAAATGAAACAATACAAGGGCCAAGAAAAACGCCATGAGCATTGAAGGGTTAGAGCTGACAAATGACAAGGAGAAAATGTACTAAGGCATAAAACGAAAGTAAAGAAAGAGAACAAAGGGAAAAACACATGACCAGACAGTAAACGAACGAAGAGAATATAACAAATACGTTGAGCGAGAACAACGGAGACCAAGAGCGAGAGCGAGAGCGAGAGAGAGAGAGAGAGAGAGAGAGAGAGAGAGAGAGAGAGAGAGAGAGACAGAGAGAGAGAGAGAGAGAGAGAGAGAGAGAGAGAGAGAGAGAGAGAGAGAGAGAGAGAGGACGAGAGAGCGAGAACGAGAGAGTGGACGAACGAGAGAGAACGAACGAGAGATTCGACAAAAGAGAACGAGAGAACGACAGAGACGGAACGAGAGAGAGAGAGAGAGAGAGAGAGAGAGAGAGAGAGAGAGAGAGAGAGAGAGAGAGAGAGAGAGAGAGAGAGAGAGAGAGAGAGAGAGAGAGAGAGAGAGAGAGAGAGAACGAGAGAGAGAACGAGAGAGAGAACGAGAGAGAGGGAACAAGAGAGAGGGAGAACGAAAGAGAGAGAGAGAGAGAGAGAGAGAGAGAGAGAGAGAGAGAGAGAGAGAGAGAGAGAGAGAGAGAGAGAAAGAAAGAGAGAGAGAGAGAACGAGAGAGAGAGAGAGAGAGAGAGAGAGAGAGAGAGAGAGAGAGAGAGAGAACGAGAGAGAAAGAAAACGAGAGAGAACGAGAAAGAGAACGAGAGAGAGAACGAGAGAGAGAAAACGATAGAGAGAGAACGGGAGAGAGAGAACGGGAGAGAGAGAACGGGAGAGAGAGAACGGGAGAGAGAGAACGAGCGAGAGAGAACGGGAGAGAGAATGGGAGAGAGAGAACGAGCGAGAGAGAACGGGAGAGAGAGAACGGGAGAGAGAGAACGGGAGAGAGAGAACGGGAGAGAGAGAACGAGCGAGAGAGAACGAAATGGACTGAACATGCAACCTATTACAATCTTTATGTACAACCTAAGACGAGGTTGAGAAAAAAATGAACTAAAACATGCAAATATGAAGAAAAGGCAACCGACGAGAGGAAAAGTTTAAGGATGAAGAATAGAAGAAACAGATGCAAGCTTATGCAGGAAGGAGAACCTGAAATCTTTACAAAGGGCCGAGAACCTAAGTTTAAACAACTAAGTCTCGCTAATACTCATCCATTTACACGGCTAGGATACGGAATGACTAAATGTTAGTCTATCTAATAGGCATCTAATTTAGTTGGAGTTAAAGTTGAGGGATCTTCTTACCTAAGTTGCAGTTAGAGTAGGTGGAGAAGTTGGTAGAGCGTGACGAGCGAGGAGAAGCGGGAGAAAAAAAGGGCGAACAAACTCTAAGGTAGTCTCAGATTCGTCGCAATTGTTTATTTTTAAAAACTTTAGCTATTCGAAGCAAACATCTGTGATGTAGCAGTGGTACAAGGCTTGGAGTGAAATCGAAAAGTCTTCGGTTCGAATCCCAATCTTATACATTTTTGACCTTTTCCTGGTGAGAGGAAGTACCACTTAGTGTCATACTACAGCATTATGTACAGAATTAGAAGTTGTACAAATTTATATAATTGCGCAAAACGCTTCGCAACCCTAAGACGAATTCGTCGCCTCTTGTTGGTAATTGCATTATACACCGAATAGGCAAGTGTACAAAAGCAAGAACAGTCGTAACTGCGCTTGGAGGCTAGGTGATAACCCGCCTCAGTGTAGCTGCCCTGGCCTGATGCTGCCCCTTCTTTGTCGCGTCCAAATGGCTGCAAAGCCCGCCTTCCACGTCCACTTCTTTGCGTTCCTGTCCCTGATTCGATCCAGAAGCTTCATCTCCTGACTCGGCCCTCCACCATGTGTCACCTTTTGCCCTGATGCGTTGTCTTTCTGCAGTTTCTCTCCCGCGTGTTTCATGAAGACCCTCGCATGCAGCCGAAACGCTGCCTCTATCCTCCATAGTACCCGTCTCAACCGGAATTTTTCCTCCCGGAAAGCCGCTTCACATCTCTCAACCCACAGCTGATGGATAGTGATCGCCGTAAGTGTTGCTTCTGGAAATGCTGAGCTGGACGCCGCTCGCCCAAAAAGAAGGTCGCCCAGCGATGAAATGTTGCGCCCGGGGTTAAGCATCTTGAGGGCTGTTTTCAAAGCTCCCAGCACTGGCTGAATCCTCGGGCACTCGAAAAGACAGTGCTCCATCGACTCCTCCTCGCAGCAGTACGGACATTTTGGCTTCGAACTGAGGAAGGCCAGCCTTTCACCGACCTGTAGGTTGAAATTATGCACCCTGATTAAAACATCTCTGGGGCGACTAGGCGTGGTAAGTGAATCACGGATCTTGGTCACCCGCTTCCAGTCAATTTCCCCCCCCCAACGGTTTGCCCACTTCTCCCTCCTCCGCGCCGAGTGCCCCTGTCTTCTCCATGCTAGCCGCAGGTGCTTAATCGGGGCGACTTGGCCGAGGTGAAAAATGGGTGTGCGGAATAGTTTACCCCCAGGGGCTACAGCTGCCCTTCCCCCCGTGCCTGCGCCCTGATTTCCTTCCGATGAGGCGAGCAACAGCTCCCTCCAGTTCTCAGGCGCGGCAGCCAGCCCCTTCAGCGCCAGCGGAGCAGAAGCTGTTCCAAGCGACAATGCTAGGGTCTCCTCGCTCTTTACTGCCATCCCACCGTTCGCCATGGGCGCCACCAGGTCTTCCAGCTTGATCTCCCAAAGCGCCTTAGCAGCCTTCTGTCCCCCAACCGGCGTTCTCCCGTTAAGTAGAATGCCTCTGTTGAAAACCAATCTCTCTGCGGCAACTTCTGCTGCGGTGAGAGGCATGCTGACCGAAGCGAACGGCGACGCCATGAAACATTGGCAGGTTTGCTTCCATCGCGCGCTCCCCCCAACCCAGTGTTTTAACAGCTTCTCATGCGATAGGAAAGTATCCAGTCCCAGCGGCAGGCCTGCTGCTGCGAGCATCATGTCTCGTTTGAAATCATCCGGCTCGGTGAGCAGGATTCCGATCCTTCTAGCGGCCAGACAGGTGACCAGAACCCCCGGGTCCTTCACACCAACTCCTCCCTCCTCCCGTGTTGCGAATATTGTTTCCCTCCCCCACAGGATGAAACACCCCTCCTCCGACGCGTGATTGCCCGAGAGGAAATTATGAATCAGCTTCGATATCCGACCCTAGACCTCCTGCGGCGGCGGGTAAACCTGCGCCTGGAAGGCGATGATCGGGGTAATGTAACCATTGATGACAACCGCCCTCGCCGTAATCGTGAGGTACTTCAGCTCCCATTTCCCCATTTCCCCCAGAAGTCTCAGCAGTGTCTTGTCCCATGTCGCCTTGCAGTCGCCTGAGGCGGTGACCCAGACCCCGAGCAGTCTCTCCGCATCATTTGCACCGGCCCACTTGAAACCGTCCGGCCTCCAAGGACGACCTCCAAGATTTCTGCCCAGCGGCATCACCACCGACTTATCCTTGTTTGTGGCCAAACCAGAAACACGCTCGAAATAGTCCAGCATTTTCCCTGCCTCTGCAATCTGCTCCCTCCCCTGCAGCAGAAGCGTGGTATCGTCCGCATAACCCAGGTAAGGCAGCCTCCTCCCCGAGTCACTGACAATGCCCAACTGCCTCTTCGCCGCTTCCTGGGCCAGAGGTTCCACCGCACAGATGAAAAGGTAAGGTGCGAGAGGACATCCCTGCCGCACCCCCGAAACCACCTCCAAGGCGTCGCTCTTCCATCCGTTAATTAACAGCCTTGTTTTCGTTACCTTGTGCAGGCCCCTCACCCAGCCCACATAACTCGGAGGGAAGCCCATCTTCTCCAGCGTCTCAAAAAGGAAGCCCCGGGAAACAGTGTCGAAGGCTTTTTGGAAATCCACCAGCAGCAAAAACCAGTCCTTGTCCCCTTTGGCTGACCGCATCTGACAATCTCCGGCCCGGTATGAAACCGTACTGCTCCCTCGAGATCACCCGGTGCAGCACCTTCTTCATCCGGTCCGCCACCACTTTCGCCAGTACTTTGTAAGTGAAGTTCAAAAGCGTAATAGGCCGGTAGTTGCTTATTTGGCCCTTGTCGCCCTTCTTGTGTAGCAAGATCGTAACCGCCTCCTTGGTGTTTGCAGGCAGCGATGCAGAAGCTTCGAAGGAGCGCGCCAGGCTCATGAAGCACTCTCCTAGGATGTCCCAATGCAGCTCGAACAGCTCTTTCGGGATCCCGTCCAAGCCCGGCGACTTACCGCACGCCAACGCCTTGAAAGCATTTTTAGCTTCCTGCTCCGACCAATCCTGAGCCAGTCCCTCCGCCTCTTCTGCCGACAGCCTCCGGTCCGGTAACCAACTTGTTCGGTGAGTCCGTTTATCCGTTCCGAAGAGCCCGTTGAAGAAATCGGCAGCCGCATCTAGAATACCCTGCTTGTCGCACACCATCGTGCCGTTGACATTTAACTCAGCTATCCGCGTGCGCTGTTTCCTGGCCTTCACCCTTGCCGACAGGTGCTTCGAGACCACCTCCCCCTTGAGCTCCGTCCCATAACCAGCCATCAGATGGAGTCTGTCCCGTCGTGATGCTTGATACTCCCGCAGTTGACTCTCCTTTGCTCTTAGGAGCTCTCTCGTGCGTGTGCAGTTGGGAGCCCCCATGGCCGCCTGCTTTAGGTTCGCCACCGCCGCGGACAGGTGTCTCATTGTCGCCTTAACTCTCTTTCCTTCCTCCTTAGCATAGGCGCGGAGTCCCGCATTCAGTCGAGCCAGTAGCAGAACATAGTCCCCTCCTGACTGCTTCGCCGCTGCTTCAACCACTTTCCTTACCCCCGGTCTGTTGAGCAGGTGGGATGGAAATCTCCAGACACCCGGACCAAGCTTCGCGTTAGCGCCACAGCGGAAGGCCACTCTGATGGCAAAGCCATGGTCCGAGATCGGGTCGTCAGGTGACTTATGCGATGCTGACTCCAGGCCGAGAAGCAGCGACCGCGAGATCAGAGCACGGTCAATCCTCGTGCTGGACTGCTTCGCCATTGACTTGAAGGTGTATTCTCTCTTTGTGGGGTGTAGGATGCGGAAAGCGTCCGAAATCTGGAAGACCCCGCACCTGCGTACCAGCTTGGTGTTTCCAGCCGCTGAGCCTGCCCGTGATGTCTTGTCTAGAAAAGGATTATCTATCATGTTGAGGTCTCCCAAGATGAGGACGTGACTATCTGGGTCTATCCGATCAACCACTGGTCCGACAACATCCCTGATGAAACCGACCCGAGCTGCAGGCGATGCTGGAAAGTAAGTCGCTAAGAGAGTGATGGAGAGACCTTTACCTATAACCTCCGTCCTAACGAGTCTACCTGAAGGGTGAGTCAGTGCGTTTCTCAGCTGTATACCAGGATCCCAGGCGATGACAGCGACACCACCAGCCCTCTCTTGAGGCGTAACTGCTACGACTGAGGCTGCACCGAGTTTGTTCCAGTAAGAATGGTTCCCTGCCAATCTAGTGTCTGTGAGGATGTTGACGTCTGCCGCTGCTTTCATCCATGATGTGACCCATGATTGCTTCGTTAAATCCCCGAGCCCGTTCACGTTCAGGCCGGCAAATGACAGTACATTGTTGTTACTCATCTAATTACTCCCTGGCAGCCTTTATTCATCCACAGGCTGAAAGTTGCAACAAAACCGACTACCAGGAGACCTGCCGCTGCCGCCGCTGACCATGCAGCTAGAGTCCGTAATCCTTCTTGAGTAAGGCAAGGGTTGCCTTCTCCAATGTGACACGCGTCGCAGTACCCATCTTTTCCAGCTGCAGGAGATGGTTTGCCGACGCAATGTGGTCCGATGCCGTCATGAAAGACTTCCCCTTTGCTTTCCCGCAGCCCGTCTGTGTACATATCCATTCCTCCCTGTTGCAGCCCGTGGAAATAAGACCAATCGCCGGGTCCTGGAGAATAGGAGTGATCAGTGCGGAGGTGCGCAAGGAAGCAGCTGCGACAATGGACCCCATCGTTAGCATACGGAATGAAGTTGAAAGGTGGGGAGACGAGATACTGTTGCGGGAAAACACCACAGTTACCATTGATCCTATGCACCCTTCCCAAGGTAAGGTGCCACTTCCCTATGTTATTCTGCCGCTCCATGACGAACATATCATGATTTGAGTCATAATGATGCCCGCCACAAAGAGAGCAGGATAGCGAAGGGTAGTGGACCAGAATCTTCCTGCCGTTGTCTGTTGGAATGTTCACCGCCTGCCTCCACTTGTGCTTGTCCCCCGGGTGTGGAACGACCAGGCCTTTGACCGTCTCAGTGTCAGCACCCGTGACTGGGTGGAGGACGCGATGGAAATGCATTCCTTCCAGGAACGGCGGCTGCTGGCGAATCTTCAGCTTGTACCGGGACAGCAAATCCTTAAGCAGGTCAGGAGAAATGTTAGCGGGAACGTTCCTGAAAACAACTTCAATAGCCAACTGATTAAGCGACTTCTCCCTGAGATAACCCGGATTCTCCGTGTGTTGCCAGAACAGCTTAATCAGCGGACCATTTCCCGTCGACTTCTTGTAATCCACCTCCTTGTGACGGATAATGTTGATGTCGGCTTCGTGCAGGATCGAAACCTGAAGACGGCAGAACCTAGTCTTCGCGACGAATCCCGGTGAAAGCGTCTGGACTGATGCGGAAGCAGCGCCTTCTGGTGAAAGATCCTTCGACCAGACCTTCTTCAGCAGCGTCTTAACAGCAATGATGACGGAACCCAACTCCGGCTGCAGCATGAACGGAACCAGCAGGATGGCTGTGAAACGCAGACGTGAAAGAACTTCCTGTTTCACATCAAGCTCGAGTTCGTCGTCAGGATCATCGTCAATCAGATCAGCGGTAAGCGAAACTGCCTTTTCAGCAACAGACAAACCAGAACTCCCAGCCCCATTGTCCAACTGCTTGCCAAAGTCACGATCATTCTCCTGATTCTTCATCGGCGACTTGTCTGATGCAGGAGAGTCAATGTTGTCAGTATTCTCCTGACCCCCGGACGACGTATCAGCAGGAAGCTTGGTAGCCTTGGAGCTCTTTGGCGGCATGTTGTGATGATGATAAAGCAGCAGCGTAGCGTTGATGTCGGAATGGTAGCTGGAAAGTTGTGCTGCCAGTCTGAACAATGGCTGCTTAAGTAGCTCCTTGACGTCCTTGCTCCAGTGCCATTGCAACTTTGAAGTTAACCAGGACCCATTTTCAAGGCCCGAAATAAGTGAAATAAGTTGATACACTTGAGACTCCCTTGGCAGAACACCTTGTGTGATTGGAAGTGAATCCCTAATGTTGATTAAAGCCGCGGTATAATCAGTAACTGCCATGTCAGCATCGGGATTAGCCATAAAGCCAAGAGGTACAATGTCCGTTGCGTGGACACATTGATGGTAACCCCTGGTAGCTCGCGTCATGGCGATGCTGTTGGTAACGGTTACGATGTCAACTGATAAGGCAGCTTCACGAAATGCAGGATTCCAGTAAGCATAAGTACATCGGAAATAGTAGACAGCGCGCTGCCGCATCAACGTGCATCGACGCTAGAAAAGGCAGGTGAATGCGGAAAAGCAGGCAGTTTCGATCCACCTTTAGGAGTGGTGCGATTAGTGCATCTCGCCAATACACTCACTTATCTATCGTGCACACAAAGATTCCTTATCTTCGTGTATATTTCAGCGGACAAGCGAGGGTCCAAAATTGTTGTGGGTGGGGGAAGGGGGCATTCAAAACATTTGAATCTGAAACCGCCAAGCTCTTTGGCGAGAGTATGTGGCGATTCGCGAACCCTGATCAGGCAACAAGTGAACACTCCACCTCTTGTTTTTTTTCGTAGCTACCATGATACTTCTCAAACTACGGGGGGGGGTGTTTGATACATACACACTACTAAGTAAATTCCAACATAGCCGAGACGCTATGCGACAGGGATTTTACTCCGAGTCGCTACTCCCCCGTCCTACTGTGAAACTGTCCAGTCCGCTAACCAACTGGGCTAAAAGGGCATGTTTCGGACCATTCCAGTGTCCACTTCCAACACTCCCCTCACTAGGAGGGCCCACCACTAGGGCACAGGAAGTCGCCAACAACAGGAATCGAACCCCGGTCCTCCACGCTCATCGCACCATGCGGAGAGTCACCCTACAACGGGAGTGGACTACGAAGGAGAGCACGGAGTTGTGTGGGTAATCGTAGCGCTCTAGTAGCGTTCTATCAGAGTTCTCACTACTTGCTCTGTTCACAGGGAGATTTGGCAAGAGTTTCCACTAAGGAAATTGAAAGAACATTGAAAATTGAGAAAATTAGAGTACAAAGAAGAGCATGCAAGTGATATCACTGGAATGGCATTGCAATCCCTAGCAAGAATTCTGCAAGGCGAATTGCCAGCACTGCATCAAAGCGGTTCGCCAACGTTGAAACAGAGCGGGCTGCCAGCGGAGCAGAAGGGCGACATGTCAGCGCTGCAACAGGGCGGCCTGCCAGCGCTGCATTCGCAGGTGAATATCTGCGCAGGTGTGCACCTGCCGAGTAGGTGCAGGTAGACGGTTGCACCGTCAGAGACATTGCGCAGGTGCCAGGTAGAAAATGCTCCGACGCTTTCGTCAGGTGTCCACCGTCAAGCACGTGATGCCATTTCACAGGTCGAATTTTGCTAAGAGCCACCTGAGCAAATTTCGCATGCCCTTGCAGAGTTTCGCAGTCGCGCGAATTCGGCCAGCCAGTTCGCCGAGATGAGACTCGCCGAACAGCGCCCTTCGATCAGAGAACGGGGCTCCTTGGAAAGCACCCCATCCATCAGAGATCGCGCGGCCCAGAAGCAGATCAGAAGACGAGCTCGTCGAACAGCACCCCGTCGACCAGAGCTCGTTGATTGGCTGGTGAATCAGAGGACAACCTCCTCGAAAACCATAGGCTGGTTCAGAGGACGGGCTGATCCAATTCACCGCGTTGTCGCAGAGAATGCCTGCGCCCAAGCGAGGGCGGGGCCTTTCAGTCCGACACTCCCTTGCCCAGCTCACGCTTGGGCACCCACACACAAGGTCCACCAAGAACTCAAGTAATAGAATACAAGGGGATATTCCTCTGGCGTGCACACCCCTGCACGCCGATCACCGCACCAGCCATGTTAGAGGACATTGCACCTACCGGTGCACGTCGTCGTCGTCGCCGACTTCGGCAAGGCGAACCTAGCCAACCGCGACATAGCACCGGTTGAAGGCCGGAAAGTGCAGCCCTTTCGTAAGGAAGTCCGCCGGCTGCTCGGATGTCGGGATGTACTCAAGCGCAATCTTCTTGCGCTTCACCATCTGCTGCAACCAAGCATAGCATCGCTCCATGTCCTTGAGGTTGCCCTTCAGCCCCAAGCCCTCAGCGACAGCGATGGCGGATTGATTGTCCACGTTCAGGACAGTTGGCGTCCTAGCATCAAGGAGCTGGAACTCGGCGAGGAGGAACCGAACTCGACGAGCCTCCTTGCCTGCTTCGGTGGCCGCGATGTACTCCGACTCTGTAGAGGACATAGTCACGCACTTGATGCGTTGGCTCGTCCAAGAGACAGCTGCGCTGCCGAAGGTGAAAACGTAGCCACTTGTGCTCGTGCGATTCTGCTTGTCGCCGGCGCCGTCCGCGTCCGCGTAGCCGACCAGTTTCAGAGTTTCGGGTCCTCCTCCGAACTCCAGAGCGAAATCGCATGTGTCGGCAAGATAGGTGAAGCAGCGATCGACCTCGCGACAGTGCTGATCGCTCCTCACCGTCAGACCAGACCCCAGCTTGCTGCATGCGAAAGCGATGTCGGGCCGAGTGGTCGTGGCAGCGAACTGCAGCGAACCGACCTTCTGACGGTACTCCTCTTCTTTGCGCGACTGAAAGTCCTCGTCGTCGAAAGTCAGCTCCGCGTAAGCGTCCACGGAAACAGGCGTCTTCGGACGCCGACCAGTCTGCTCCTCGTCGATGAAGCGCCTATGCAGCTTGTCGACGTAGGACTGCTGGTGCAACCACAGCTTTCGCGCCGGACGGTC